TCCCAAGAAATTAGTGACCACCAGAAGGAAATCATTCCAAGCAGTTTTTTCAATACCTGTTAAAGTGTTTTCAAACTGTGTATCTTTCAAAAGCCCAAGTAAAAGTGCAACAACTTTCAAATCGCCACAAATATGCCATTGGTGCTCATCGTATTTTATGCATGTCAATAGGTACTTCATATTGTCATATGATTCTTTCATGTGAACTGCATACCCTACAGGAAGAGATGGTAAAATATTTCCAATATGCAATAACACTGCCTTTAAACTCAATGTTGAACGGTCTATAAACAATCTCCATTCTTCTGGGTTATAGTTTATATTTAAAGCCCCCAGTAAGCCGTTAATGTTACTGCAGAAAACCAAGTTATTCTCCATATTGAAAAATGGTTCTAAGTCTTTGTGGCGTTTACGAAAAACACGTACCGAAACATCGTCTTCTAACAAGTTCCACTGCTGCAGTCTTGATCCAAGTAACTCTGCCTTACATTTTGGAAGTTCTAAATCTCTTACAAGATCATTTAATTCTGACTGTGTTATTTTGTGCGGTTGGTGGCATGACGTGCTCGGTATAAAATCAGGATCTCTTGACGTTGATGGCATATCATCTTCCTGACGAATCACTCGATCGCCATGATCTGATTCGTTTTCTGATTCGCAAGTGTAGGATTCTGGGGGTTTTGGAATAGGATTTTCGTCACTGTGACGCACAGGTCTCATCGCAGATGGTATGTTTGGGTAGTTAATAACCGATTTTTTTTTTTTGGACATACCTGTGGCTTGTCCAACACAAGGTACCATGCAAAAGTAACAATCATTAATATGATTTGTAGGCTCTCTCCAAACCATTGGGACAGCAAAGCGCATAGACCGTTTTTTGCCATTTAACCAGCTCCTCAGACTTGAAGCACATGTATTACAGCAGATGTGGGGTGCCCACTGTTTGTCTTGATCACCTAGTTTACAACCGAAATAAAGCTGATATGCCTTGTTATTAGTGGAGTAATAGACCGTCTCTGAGACGCAAAAGTCACATCACCACACACGTAACAAAACTGATCTGGATTGTTTACACACTTTCGAGACATCTTGCATGAACGTAACACAAACATGCCGATGACATCATCTTTCCTTGCCGAATATAAAAATGTAGCACGTGCATTCTTGTGAATTACAGTATATTAACACTGTCACAGCAGGAACACATATAATTACCGTATCTCTAAAACTTGACCTAATATTGAAAAAATAAGTTTCATTCCGGTTTTAGCACATTAAAAATAGTAATATTTTGTTGATTTTATTTAGGATATTTTTTGGCTGTTGATCAGTGTAACAGATGGCGCTTATTTCTGCTGTCTTATTTCGATAGACCTTATACAATCTATAGAGGAGATTTGCTCAGCGTAAACCTTGCTGAGAAGCCGCAAAATAGCACGAAACAGCTACCTATGGTTTGCCGACCGCGGTGGGATGGACTTGAGCTACATTTCGAGTTCGATCTATAGATTTGATTAGGAAAGTTACTAATGGCATTCATACCATATCCTTTGTAGCTCATAGAAGACTCATACTCATTTCATTTCTTTCGCGTGTTTTTTCCACTCTTTATTCCACTTCGAAAACTTAAAAAAACATCTGTTTATTAGTAACCCTTACATACCTTTTTAAATCTTGTCACCATACAGTATATTCCAAGTTTTGACAAAATCGGCAAAGTGGTTACTTAGGTTACTCGATGACAAAAACGACCGCACGACAAATTAATCGTCGCCAGTAGATGACGTAGAGGTTAAAAACTATTTGTCGATTCGCAAAGAGTATTTGTCATCCATTGTTCGTGCCATAGAAGCAATAATAATAGCATGAATCACCTTGTATAAATACAGGGTGTCCGCAAAGTTGGGGTTTTCCTTTTCAGAAACAACTACCCTTGAAATAACAAAGGTAACGTGTAGTGAAACGAGGGCGACCAAGTAAAAAAAAATAAAGGAAAAAGTACTCACTCTCCAGTTGACGAGAAGGGCTAAGTACGTCTCTGCCCGAAATCATACCGCTCCAACAGAAAATGAAATCAGCTGAAGCGCTACCGAGCAGACGCAGATACCACATTGATTGTCTTACACTTAATGGCACATCTTCTAACAAGGAAGGCAAAATGTGGCGTAATTGCGTGCGGATTTTCTACTGACCAAACATGAGTGTTGCGAAAGTTATTCACCCCATTACGCGTGAACGTAGATTCGTCTGTCACCAATATGCACTTCAAAAAGTCCAGATTATTGTCATGTTGATGCAACAACCACTCACAAAATCGCACTCCTGCTGGAAAATCGTCACGTTGGACGTGAAACGGATAGCCCCTCTTCACGCAGCGTTTGCCACACTTTAGTTTTTGATACTTGCACTTCTCTAGCCACGACTCTAGAGATTCTCGTCTACGCGATTACCTCTACATGCGTGACCGTAACCATCGGTTGAAGGTTGCATACTGACCTGACACTGACCCCGACCCAGTTCTGCCGTCGCGTCGAGACCTTGTACCAATCTGTGATGTCCCGGGTCGCGGCTACAGGACGTTATTCAGATATTTTTGATGTTGCAGAGCCCTTTATCTCGGTTCCCTTAAGACATTGGTGTATATGGTACTAAGAAAAATTGCTTATGTTTTCAAGATCTACACGTCGTGTAAAGGAAAACCCCAACTTTGCGGACACCCTGTATAATTACTACCACTACAATTTTTCCATACGTGCCCCAAAGTATGACAGTACTACTCTGTATAAAGCAATGAAAAAGTGCGGACCTCTTCAAGTGAGGCACCTAAAAAAGAGATCCGTGTTATTAGAAAAATGTCACGAGTGCCCTTTCTACCGGTAAGTTTGTATTCTGGTTAGTAGATTCTCAAAGCAATTAATTAATAATTGACTTAGGATATGCTACCCCTTTTGCTACTCTATTGATTGATTTCAAACGCAGGCACTTGGAGAATGTCAATTCTGCGAGTGTGTGTCTGATTGCTACCAATAAAACGTACTTTTTCAGGCGTTCGTACAAACATTTTATTTGCTAGCTCATATAGAACAGACTCGCTTCAGTTTTATCTTGCACAATACGGCCGGTAGTTGCAATTTTGTATTTGCATGTGTGCACAACATTTACGATGATTGTAGCTGAAGCTCGCAGCAGCTTCAGAAATATCGTAGCATATGCATCACTAAACAGCAATGTAACTCCCGATGCGGCAATATGAAGGAGAAAGGGATGTTTCAAAAGAGGGTAATGAGTTGCTTTACATTGGATACAGTTGAACGGGTTTGTTTTTAAAACACCGCCCTTTGGTATTTATGCAGGCAGCATGACATTCATCTACCTGTTGTTTAAAATTTAATGACAATGTTGATTAATGTGATCGTCATCAATTGAACATTTATACAGTTTGATGACCCGGCTGGTGTTTGGTTGTGACGTGTCCCTCCATCGCGTCGGTAGAGTTTCACTATTGGTTTAGTTAAACAAAGAATACATTCACATTTACGAATTACCAAACGTCCACAAAGAACATATACCACTTCGGCCTACGGCCAGCCTAAGAGGATCCGCGACACACGACTGTAAAAACCTTTAGGCCTTAGGCTTATCATTTTTCCAATAAAAATCGGAGCTGGCAGTATCAGCCACACGCCACACTTATGCGTGGCAGCGACTTGCAGCTCGTGTCGAGCTCTCAAGGTAATACAAATTTGCCCAAAAATGCGGCGCAGTTTTTGAGAGATTCGCGTTGCTGTGTAGTGTTGCATATGCTGTGGAATATCTTTGATACAAACATGGCCTTTAAAATGGCTAACAGGCTGGCTTTATCAAAATTGTTGCTGGCTTACTGTCGAGTACGCTCGCTGTATGTTTCGAATTTATGCTTGTTAGAGTAGAATATTACATGGATTTTCGATAGCTTTGGGTATATTAACTTAGAAACTCAAGTTTACAATATTGTTAATCTGTACTTTACTGGTATGTAATAGATTTGGTATTTTGTTACAGTTAAACTCTATAAATTCCTAGCAATAGCTATTAATTCGCTCACGAAGAATCATGTCACTTATTTCCGTCTGTCCGTCCTTTATAAGTTGGAAAGTACCACTCGGATTTTGATGAAGCTGTGGAACAAGTATAATATCAAGGATAAAAAAGCTTTGTATTTTTGCAAAGCCGATCTGACAGCAGCGTAGTCACAGGCAAAAAACGAAAAAAAAATTGCACAAGAAAAATTTTTGTAGAGATTAAAAATTTGGGGTTGGGGATCGAAGGGGATGAGGGAGGGATACCTCAATTTTTTGGCAGTAGTATACGAGTATTTACACGCTACTAGCCTCGGTAATTCTACGCATATATTAGTCCATACTTCACACATCATGGATTTCACCGTACAATTGATAAATCGTGATTGTATCCACTCAGGGAATATTCGATTCACTGACACTTTAACTGTGCCTCTTTTTACCTATAATGCGATCAATCTATATAATGCATTAATAGCGACTGCTAAACATCTTGATTTTAATAATTTCAAAAAGCATACCTATTTAACGACGCTTAAATCTGAATTAACTCTCAGTTTATAGATCATCTATATTTATTCTTATTTCTGCATAACATACGAATCCGTTATAGTTTTTCTTGCACACACATGTGCAAACTGTAGTTAATTTGTAGTTTTCAATGAAATTTTTGACGAATATTTTGTTAAAATTGTGTTCAATATTTTAGTGCTAATTTTTCAAATGTTAAGCGAAAAATGTCTATACAGCAGCGTTATCAAATGTGTGGGGACAATTATATGGGTCTTTGATCCATATTTTTATTATACATGTTCGCTTTTCACTATAAGCATTCCTTGGTGTAATCTTGAAATGTTTCGCATATAACCTAAGACTCCTTAACGAACACCTAAGCATCTTGGGAGGCCGATAGTAAATTTGGATACACAGCTTTCTACTCACATTATTTTTATCCCAGTTACAGCTTTTCGTAGATATGAGATGGTCCAACAGCCAATCTACAGGCTTGTCGTTGTAAAACATCTGAAAGAACTGCACCAGGTATGGAAGTTCTGCACTTTTGAACATCTTTCCTGAAAAAAAAAAAGAAAAACGTTTTAATCATGTTTACTCATATGGTAACAAGTTAGTATCAAATTCAACCCTTCAATATATCATCCAAGTATTCATTGCGCGGGACGTAGTTTTGAAACAAAAAAGAAAACATGTTTCTTTTAAGATGGTCTAGTTGTTGGGTTACCAGACATGACAGACTTTCGAACTAATACCATGACATGAGAATGGCTTAGCTTGCTGAATATCTTCTCAATTAAATTGAAACCATTTTCATGTACCTCGTAGCTCTATGCGTCTAAAACCACGCTAGTTCAGCAGTAATTCTTGCTTAAGTCAATATTCCTGAAGTGACCAAAAAGTTTTCAGGACGAATGCAAGACGCATACACGCATATTGTCAAGCCTAAGATAAGTTACCTAGTCGATGAATTCTTCTACAACTCATTAGATAGGCCTCTCACACTGTGGATTAACGAAGGATTGAGAAACCTATTTTCATGTTCTCAGCCGTGGGAAGTATCTTTGTGATCAAGGAATACACTTATACACTTCCGAGACGTTACGGCAAAGAAATATTCCATAAAAAAATATGTTTTTTGGATGTTATATGAATATCACAATAACTGACACTCACTTCTGTCAGTCTGTCCGGTAATCCCTGTCCTCTCTATAACTGGGAATGTGCTGCTTGGACTTGGATGAAATGACTAGCCAGATTTCACACATCATAGGGCAGGGAAAGAATGTCTATGGACCAATTGTTTGGGTCTGTTTAATTGACTTGATCCGTTTAATTCCCCTGTTGAACAATTTTGTAAGAATTTTTTTTATCACAGAGCTTATGTTGTCCACCTACTTGACGCCAATTAAAAAACAAACGTGAACTTTTTTAGCGGTAGAAAAACTCTTCCTCAAAACAGCCAGTTAATCTTTCAACTTTTTTTACTTCTCTGACCCTCCGAGATTTAAGAACAGTTCCTTGGGGCCACTTTATAAATAATGCCAATCTCGTGAATGTTAGAACATTTTTGTGGCACAGCGGTTCGCATTCACCCAGTGATATAGATTTGCTGTTTAAATATTTATCTTTGAACCAGTATTTTTAGATATTTTCCACCTAAAAAGCTGCATGCACATTGAGGCGAAGCGACACGAAGAGAACCGCAGCGACGTGATATCAAAGTCTGAAACTGTGTAATGTAATATTAAATACTTACAACAATACATTCTCATAAAAAATACTCAATTCACATGACTTCAACGACGATATCGTGTATTGAGAGTGTATTCGTGAAAATATTTTCAAAATAATTTTAATGAGTTTTATATCAATATCAAATAAGTAGAATATCATCTTTATAATTGGTTAGCCATAGTTGGAAATCAATTTAAACCGTCCAAAATGACCTTTTTATGTAAGACTCCGGAGTCTATCAACGACTACATTGCGTTGAATGAAAAATTAGAAGACATCGTGGTCAGTGGTCAGTGTGAGTCCGTCTTCATCCATCGAAAACACTTGCCATTACCGCTGGATATAGGGACTGAGATGTACAGTGAAGTAAAGAACCTAGGTGTATTTTTTGGTTAAAATCTCACATTTGATTGCCACTTGACTGCAAAGATGCACATATGTTACGTTACGTTAAAATGCCTTTGGCGGTATAGATATATACTGTCTAGCGACGTGAAGTGGACCTTGGTTAACCCTTCAATTCTCAATACCGTTCAATTTTGCGGTGTAATATAGCTATCTAACCGAAGAAAACAAAAACAAGATCCAGACTATCAAAAATAGATGATTATGGTACAGTTACCCGTATATAGCTTGGCACGAATGGATTACCCCTCATTACATATCGCTTAGCAAATTGAAGTATTGTTTCCGAAGTGCATGATTTGCATATAAAATAATTATTTCATCTGTTCCCTTCATTTGAATAAAATCGTTTATCAGGAGAGTATGAGGACATAGTACCGATTTACGACACTCTGATCCTTTTATTATACCACAACGTCGTACGACGAAATTGAGATGTTCCTCCTATTATGTCGCTAGTTCGCTTGTTAATAACCAAGCAGTCTTTAAATCAAGCTATATGATTAATTAACTACAAGAAACTGCTCTGTCAACAAAAACGTATGTTACATTGATACGTTTAATAATTTCCTTAAAAGGAGTATGGCTTTCGATGATCCACCCACAGTACAGGGTGGAGCATCGAAAACGAAACAGACGCATTTACTGGCAGCTCAGTTTTTTTTTGAAAAACGCTCAGACTCGTCGATTTTCTTTTCGAGGGGGACACAAGTTTGGCAAAAAATCACGTTAGCATGTGCAGCCCCCTAAGCGGGGGTGACACCGCCCCCAAAATCTTAAAAGGGGGGTCGAGTGATACCTTATTTTGAAGGCCTTTCAATTCCCTTTATAATTATATAAAACTAATGTACTTCAGTTCAGTAGTATTGAAGATTTATTGATTTTTTTTTGAAATAATTTATTTAAACACAATAATACAAAAAGTATAACCAGTTTTAACAATAATTCCCCAATCAGTGTTTGCAAACACTGGCCCCGAGAATAGCAAGACAATAATTAATATCTATGAACTACAGGTACACTGCAATGTTGCTCATAATTTCAACAAATAAATTCATTAAAATTTTTACAATCTTTCAATTCTCTAACAAAACTTCTATAGTTATTTGGATCTTTTATACAATGAGGTAAATTATTAAATTTCTTAATTGCGTCTGTGATCGGATTTTTTAAACCTATGTTAGTTCTTGTGGAAATTTGATAAACATTATTTAGTGATCTTGTTTGGTGATCATGCACGTTATGGTAGAACCTAATATTTATGTTACTTTTTAGTAGATTATTTATAATTTTATAAACAAGTTTACATTGTTCCACCTTCAATAACACTCTTAATTTGTTTAAATTTAAATTTGAATAAAGTGTATTAGAACTTGTAAGCCAATCAAAATTAAACAATATTTTCAGAACTTTATTTTGGAAAACTTGAGCTTTATTAAAATTAACTTCACCGCACATACCCCATACTGGCAAGAGGTACCTAAAATGTGTAAGAAAGAAGGCATTATAAATTTGAAATTTGCTTTTGTTGGACAAATAATCTCGACTCTTATATAAGGCAGATAGCATTGAAACTATTTTATCACAAATTCCATTTACGTGAAGTGACCAATTTAAACTTTCATCTATCAGTAATCCCAAATATTTAATACTTGACACTTTTTCTAGCGCTATATTATTTATGTTAATATTTAGATTATTGCTAACTATCTTATTTTTTTGTTTAAATATAATGTATTTTGTTTTTTCAATGTTAATTTTTAATCTATTCGAAAACAGCCATTTAAGATAACTATTCAGGTCATCATTAATAAGATTCGTTAAAGCAATCTCGTCTGTTCCAGTATATACCAGTACAGTGTCATCTGCAAAGGTAAAATATCTTCCCCTCAGATTGGCCAACTTGAGATTCAGTACATAAAGACTGTATAACAGAGGTCCAAGAACTGACCCCTGTGGTACTCCATAGGTGCTAGATAACCATTCACTATCAATGTCTCCAAGCTTTATGTACTGTTTTCTGTCATATAAATAAGATTTAATCAAGCTGTACGAAACACCTCTAAATCCCATTTTAAACAATTTATCTAAAAGAATGTCTACGCTTACTACGTCAAAAGCTTTTTTTAGGTCAATGAGAACAGCTACAACTATTTGTTGTTTATCTAGAGCCATTGAAATGAAGTCCACAAAATCAACAACCGCACTAAGTGTGCTACTGTTCGTTATAAAACCATATTGAAATTCATCAATCAATATATTGTGAGTAACAATGAAAGATAACATTCTTTTTTTTATTAATTTTTCTATAATCTTAGAGAATACACACACCACTGAAATAGGCTTGTAATTGTTCATACATTTAATATCTCCCGACTTAAAAAGGTGGGGTTATTTTAATTATTTTCAATTCTGATGGAAATATTCCTTTTTGTATAGTTTCATTGATTAATCGTACTAAAACAGGTATTAAGTATTCTCCAAGATAATTTACATCCTTAACCGTGATACCGTCATATCCAGGTGCTGAGTTTATTTTTAGTTCTTTCACAACTTCCAACAACTCTTCTTTATTAGTCAATGTTATCGAAATAGAATCTTCGTTGTGAACCTCACCAACAGAAATAAACTCATTCAACTGCTGAATCTCTGCTTCCAAATTTTCAACAATTGATCCACCGACCCGAGAAAAGTATTGATTTAAATTGTTTGCAATATCAAGTTGAGTGTTAATAATGTTATTTTCAGTTAATAGTTGATCAATTCTTACTTTATACTCCTTATTTTTTATTAGGCTGTTTATAAAAGCCCATTGTTTCTTTACATTGTTTCCAGCTAAGCTCCATTTAGTTTGGAAATAACGGTTCTTCAAAGCACGTATTTTATTGTTTATTTTATTTTTGATGTTTTTAAATTCAGAGATGATAGTTAAGCCTTCTGGTTGGTTAATCTTTCTTTTATATAATTTATCTCTTTTTTTGATAAGCTCAAGGACTTCATTATTTATCCAGGTGTTATTTGTAGGTATTCTTAATTTTTTTATATATTCCGATTTACTTTTGCAGTCTTCAATTAAATTAATTAATTCTTGAAAAGTTGTTACATTTTTGCTTAAAATTTTTTGTCTAAATAAGTTTACACATTTTTTATAATCTACAGATTTTACCTCATAATCAACTTTTGGTTTATGGAACTGCACAGATGTTTTAATATCAAGTAATATAAGTTTATGATCCGAAATTGCATTTTCTTTAACACTGACTCTACAACTTACATTACTACCATAATCGCTAAGAACATGGTCTATAACAGATTTTGACGAACTGCTAACTCTAGTAGCACACTCCTCATTTATCGTATTATTAATTTTAAAAGTGTTTAATGCTATTAAATCTTTGTACTCCTTGGCTACTTGTGA